CGATGGACACCGAGGCTCCTTCCACAGTTTGGCTATTGTGGACATTGCTGCTAGAAACATCGGGGTGCAGGTGTCCCGGCATTTCATTGCATCTGAATCTTTGGGGTAAATCCCTAACAGTGCAATTGCTGGGTCGTAGGGCAGGTCTATTTTTAACTCTTTGAGGAACCTGCACACAGTTTTCCAGAGTGGCTGCATCAGTTCACATTCCCACCAACAGTGTAAGAGGGTTCCCTTTTCTCCGCATCCTCTCCAACATTTGTTGTTTCCTGCCTTGTTAATTTTCCCCATTCTCACTGGTGTGAGGTGGGATCTCATTGTGGTTTTGATTTGTATTTCCCTGATGGCAAGTGATGCAGAGCATTTTCTCATGTGCTTGTTGGCCATGTCTATGTCTTCCTCTGTGAGATTTCTCTTCATGTCTTTTGCCGATTTCATTATTGGATTATTTGTTTCTTTGGTGTTGAGGTTAATAAGTTCTTTATAGATCTTGGAAACTAGCCCTTTACCTGATACGTCATTTGCAAATATCTTCTCCCATTCTGTAGTTGTCTTTGAGTTTTGTTGACTGTTTCTTTTGCTGTGCAAAAGCTTCTTATCTTGATGAAGTCCCAATAGTTCATTTTTGCTTTTCTTTCTTTTGCCTTCGTGGGTGTATCTTGCAAGAAGTTACTGTGGCCAAGTTCAAAAAGGGTGTTGCCTGTGTTCTCTAGGATTTTGATGGACTCTTGTCTCACATTTAGATCTTTCATCCATTTTGAGTTTATCTTTGTGTATGGTGAAAGGGAGTGGTCTAGTTTCATTCTTCTGCATGTGGATGTCCAATTTTCCCAGCACCATTTATTGAAGAGACTGTCTTTCTTCCAGTGAATAGTCTTTCCTCCTTTATCGAATATTAGTTGACCATAAAGTTCAGGGTCCATGTCTGGGTTCTCTATTCTGTTCCATTGATCTATGTGTCTGTTTTTTTAAATAAATTAATTTTTTATTGGTGTTCAATTTACCGACATACAGAATAACACCCAGTGCTCATCCCGTGAAGTGTCTCCCTCACTGCCCGTCACCCATTCACCCCCAACCCCTGCCCTCCTCCCCTTCCACCACCTTAGTTCGTTTCCCAGAATTAGGAGTCTTTATGTTCTGTCTCCCTTTCTGATATTTCCCACACATTTCTTCTCCCTTCCCTTATATTCCCTTTTACTATTGTTTATATTCCCCAAATGAATGAGAACATACACTGTCCTTCTCCGATTGATGTACTTCACTCAGCATAATACCCTCCAGTTCCATCCACTTGAAGCAAATGGTGGGTATTTGTCATTTCTAATGGCTGAGTAATATTCCATTGTATACATAGACCACATCTTCTTTATCCATTCATCTTTCGATGGACACCGAGGCTCCTTCCACAGTTTGGCTATTGTGGACATGGCTGCTAGAAACATCGGGGTGCAGGTGTCCCAGCGTTTCATTGCATCTGAATCTTTGGGGTTAATCCCCAGCAGTGCAATTGCTGGGTCATAGGGCAGGTCTATTTTTAACTCTTTGAGGAACATCCACACAGTTTTCCAGAGTATATGTTCTCATTCATTTGGGGAATATGAATAATAGTATATTATACTATAAAGGGAATATAAGAGAAGGGAGAAGAAATGTGTGGGAAATATCAGAAAGGGAGACAGAACATAAAGACTCCTAACTCTGGGAAAGGAAGTAGGGGTGGTAGAAGGAGAGGAGGGCGGGGGGTGGGGGTGAATGGGTGATGGGCACTGAGGGGGGCACTTGATGGGATGAGCACTGGGTGTTATTCTGTATGTTGGTAAATTGAACACCAATAAAAATTAATTCATTAAAAAAAAAGCAAAAAAAAATACAAAACAAAAAATCAAAAGAAAAAAAAAAACAAAAAAACACTGGGGAGTATCTTCTGATTCTGGGTACTGTAAGTCCCTTGACTTCCCCTGGAACTTGTCCGTCTAGCTGGTCTTTTGGGAGAGGGGCCTGTTGTGCTGATTTTCAGGTGTTAGCACTTGGGGGAGCTCTTCTGCCCCCTGCCTGGTGCAGGGTTCATTGGGGGTTGTTTACCCCGTGAGGCCCCAGGAGGAACAACCACAGCGTCGGGGCCAGCTCTAGAGCCCTGGAGTCAGCCCTCGCAGGATCTACAGAGCTCTCCGTCTGCAGGGCCTGGAGGCGCCGGGGCGGGGCCGCTGATCTGCTCAGCTCGGGGCAGGAGCGTCCTTGCTGTCCTGGGCCCTCCCGTCCTCTGCCTGTCCCGGGGGAGGCCGGATCCTGGGCTGTGTCCCGGCGCCCTGTGCTCCGGGGCCTGCGCTGTTGGATTCGCGCTCCCGCCCCGCAGCCCCCTCCGCGGAGCCGCCGCCCGAGCCCCTCCGAGCTGCTCCGGGTCCCGCCGTGCGCGCTGCAGCCCTTAGGGAGCTCGGCGCACTCTCCCGGGGCGCAGGTGTCTGTTAGTGTCCCCGGGAGCCCGAGGGCATCCCCGCCCTCCTGGATCCTGCTCTAACTCCCTGCGAGCCCCTTTCCGCCCGGGAAGGTTGGTGCAGCTCCTGCTTCTCCGGGACGGGGCTCTCCTGTCCTGGGGACACTCGCCCCGGCCTCAGCCCGGCTCCTCGCGGGGCCCCTCCCCCTCGGAGGCCTTTTGTGTCTTTATTTCTTTTTCCCCGTCTTCCTACCTTGATAGAAGCGTGAACTCTTCTCACTGTAGCATTCTAGCTGGTCTCTCTTTAAATCTCAGGCCGAATTCGTAGATTTTCAGGATAATCTGAAGGTTATCGAGGTAATTTGGTGGGGACAGGTGACCTGGGGACCCTACTCTTCCGCCACCTTGTCCCGCCTCAGTCCATTTATATTCAGAGTAATTATGCATAGATACATATTTAGTCCCATTTTATTACTTGTTTTGTCATCGTTTTAGCAGATTTTCTCTATTCCCTTGTAGTCTTTTTTGTTTTTATTCTTCCCATTCAAAGAGTCTGCTTAGTATTTCTTGGAGAGCTGGTTTAGTGGTCACAAACTCCTTTAGGTTTTGTTTTCCTGGGAAACTCTTAATGTTTCCTTCTATTCTGAATGACAGCCTTGTTGTATAGAGTATTCTTGACTACAGATTTTTTTCCATTCAAAATTCGTAACGTTAACAGCCCAAACTGAAATGATAGTTCTTTGAGTATCAAGGTTACTGGATAACATTTTGTATAAAACCTGAACTGCTGATAAGCAGAAGACTAAGTAGTAAGATCAAAAGAACAGCAACCAGTAGAGAATATTGACAGAAATCTTGGCGAGATATGAACGACCTACATCCGGTAGGCATTAAAAGGGCTACTGTCTCTTCTACATGGCACTGTGAGTCCAAAGTAAAGTGTGTATGTGCATGTTTATTGTGGTTAAAGAAGAATCACTGTCCCCATCCCTGCAGAGTACAGCTTGCTAAAACTCACTTCCTTGTATCTTATTCATTCTACAGAAGGAGATGAGTTCCATGATGTCCATTGGTTAGACACTGGTAGTGGAATCAAAGTCTTGTCTTTTTCTAGATAGATTCATGCCAGTGTGAACAGAAAGGAGAGTTTAAGAGGCTGAAGAAAGTGAAGATTTTTGAGTAACCGCATCTCTACCATTTAGGGTCTGAGGCCCAACAAGGACCTACTTAACTGAATACTTGTAGATTAATGACTATGCATAATTAATCAGAACAAGGGGAAGATTGTTTTTCTTTGCAGTCCTTCTCAAATGTTAGCAGGCAATGGGAGGATTCTGCTCCCAGAGTTTCTGATTCAGCAGGTGTGTGTGTTAGGACCTGAGAATTTGCATTTCTAATACGTTCAGGTGAAGGTGATGCTGCTGGTCTGGGACTATGCTTTGAGGTCCACTGGCCTCCTGTCTAGTTACTCAAAGGAATAGCAAGAGTGGTGTCACCTAGAAGCTTGTTAGAAAGGTAGGATGTTGAACGTAGCTTGACAGAATCAGAATTAACACTTTACAGAATCCTCTGACATTGGTAAGATGTGAAAGTTTGGGAAGCAGGGTTTGATACATAGGTTCTCAAAAATGAATTAAGTAGCATAAACCCAGCATGAGTGTGTCACTCCTGCTTCAAATACATTTTCCCATGCTATGATTGAAATATAAAATAGTAATAAAAAATGAGAACCCAGAGCTTTGCGATGGGTAGCACTGACAAACTTCCTCAGGCTTGGTATCTTCATTTGGTTAACAAACAAAACAAAACAAAATGAAACATTGGGGTAGATGGCATATAATTTCTGACTTCAGCAAATCAATTTCATGTTGGATGAAACTGAAGAAGTTTTCATCTGTTCTGCATGCTTCTGGGTGAAAGACAATATGAATAAACTATTTCATTCCCCCCAAAGCAACAGCTGAGAGTCAGCAGCCAGCTAATCGCCTGCCTTGAAATTATCACGGAGGCCAGCTTGTGCTCTGTGGCTCTGGTGGGTGGTGTAAGGGAGGAAGTGCAGCACCAGATGGTGGTGATGGGTCTCTCAGGCCCTGTCTCCTTCCCCCTTGCAGTGCTAGCCTTGGAACAACAGCAGGAAGAACAGTTACTTCTTTACCTAGCTTGTATAATATCAGTACACTTCTATTTTCATATCCTTTTCCATTTTTTCCTCATCTTATAATTTTTTTGAAGTATCAGACCTTTTAGGAGAGACATTTACATTTGATTTAATTTTTATAACCTGAAGAACAAACACATTTTATTTCTATGTTTTCTTTTCTTTCTTTTATTTTTAGCCTTCCCTAAAAGCCTTTTGCTTGTTTGGAAGAGGACAATATATTGGTATTCTGGAGATAGAAGATTTCTGAAGAATAGGAAATCCCCTATCTCTTCTGATTCTCCAATCCTGGAGTTTCCTTGAAAGCAAAGTGAACCAGGAGTGTTATATTTATTCTCTTATATTTCAGCCTTATTTTTTTTAACTCACATGCCTCCCCCCCTCCTTCAGAATGGTTCCTGCCTTCTCTATGATGCCCATCTCTTGGCAGCTCTCTGTTGGTAGGAGCACAAGCCAGTGGTTAGATGAAACGTCCTGCCTCATAATGTTCTCATCATTGCTGAAAGTGGAGTGAAACTCAGGAGCTGAAAAACAGAGTCACAGTGACAGAATGGGGAATTATCTCCTGAGAGAACTCAGGTGAGTCTGACTCTGGGCAGGGCCCTCTGTTGGAAGAGTAGGGAGGGGGAGACTGGGTATATGCATTTGGAACACTTACACTGTGATGTTTTCAGAGGTTTGAACTTGAAGACTGTGTTCTTTAAGTTCTTTAATAACTCACAGTCACCCCTCACCACCTCAGTTTACTCCTTCTTTGGCCATAATTTGGAACCATGGTAGGTTGCCAGATTTAGAAAATAAAAATACAGGATGTCAAGTCAGATTTGAATTTGAGATAAACCTTTCTTTTGAAGCATAAATATGACACAAATATTACACAATATTTGGAGCATTATTGTATGCCTCATACCTACACTAAACAAATTATTTGTTGTTTATCTGAAATTCAAATCTTGACATTCTGCATTTTATCCAGGAACCCTAGTCTGTAGTCACCTGAATCTATAACTTTCTATCCTCATCTGGGTATATGGTTTGTCTTCCCATTTATTAGCTTCATGGGGTCTGCATGTGAATGAACAGGACCTTGAAAATTATGTATGCAAAATAATGTACTCAAATGCTTTTAGGTAGGACCTTCTTTTGGTGATTTTATTAATTAATTAATTAATTAAATTTATTTATTGGAGTTCAATTTGCCAACATATAGTATAATACCCAGTGCTCATCCCATCAAGTGCCCCCCTCAGTGCCCATTACCCAGTAACCCCCACCCCCAGCCACCTCCCCTTTCACCCCCCCAGTTCGTTTCCCAGAGTTAGCAGTTTCTCATGTTTTGTCACCCTCTTTAATTTTTCCCACTCATTTTTCTCCTTTCCCCTATAATCTCTTTCACTATGATATTTAGCCTTCCTCATCTTATTCAAATGCTTTTGAAGTTGTAGAATAGATGTGGTTAACAGAATTATTCTTTGTTTTTAAATATTTTATTTATTTATTCATGAGAGACATATACGCAGAAAGAGAGAGAGAGAGAAGCAGAAACACAGGCAGAGGGAGAAGCAGGATCCATACAGGGAGCCTGATGCAGGACCCGATCCTGGGACTCCAGGATCATGCCCTGGGCCAAAGATAGGCACTATACTGCTAAGCCACCTAGGGATCCCCAACAGACATTATTCTTTTTATAGTTTGCTTAATCTTAAAGGATTGTCTTTATAGCACCCCACTTTCCAATCCACATACCTGAACCCCTTCCAGTCTTATATGTTATATAACAAGACTAGATTTTTAAAATTAAGATATAATTGCCATATAAATTGTGTAAGTTTAAAGTGCACAATGCATTGATTTGACACATTTATATATTGCAATATGATTACTATGGTAGTGTTAGCTAACACCTGTGTCACATCACATAAATTATCATTTCTTTTTTGTTATTGGAACAGTTCAGATTTAGTCCCTTAGCAAGTTTGAAATTTACAGTACAATATTGTTGATAATAATCACTGTTTTTTGAGTTAGATCTCCAGGGCATATCTGCCTACTAGTTGCAAGTTTGTGCTCTCAAACAACATCACCCTAATTCTTTCACCTCCATCCCTGACACCCACCATTCTACTCTCTGTTCTTAAGAGTTCAGCCTTTTGAAATTCTGCATAGAAGTGATATTTGTCTTTCTCTGACTTATTTCACTTAGCATCATGCCCTCAAATTGATGCCATGCCATTTTGTCACAAATGTCAGGGTTTCTTTTTTCCCATGGCTGGGTAGTATAATATGTATATATTCTATTATCTATCTATCTATCTATCTATCTATCTATCTATCTATCTATCATCATCATCATCATCCATCATCTATCTATCTATCTATCTATCTATCTATCTATCTATCATCTGCCACATTTTCTTTATCCATCCATCCCTTGACAGACATTTAGACTGTTTCCATATCTTGGCTATTGTGATCAATTTTGCAATAAACATGGTAGTGCAGATATCTCTTTGATACCCTGTTTTCATTACCTTTGACTGTGTATCCAGAAGTGGGATTGCTGGATTGTATGGTAGTTCCATTTTTTATTAAAGAATTAGTGGCTAGATCAATTTACATTTCTACCAACAGTATAAAAAGGTTCCCCTTTCTTTATATCCTTGCCAACATGATACCTCTTCTTTTCATTCCATTACACATGAGATGATATCTCATGGTGGTTTTGATGTGTGTTTCCCTATGATGAGTGATGGTGAGCACCTCTTAATGTAACTTTTGGCCACTTGATTGTGTAACAGAACTAGGTTTATCTACCCATGGCAAAAGTCTAATCACATTCTCCTGTGTTTCAGCAGTACATTCATTTCCCACTGCTTAACATGTGAAGTGTAGACCACTTATTTTGGAATTTAAGATCTTAGATATTCTGTTTTAATAACTCCATCCTTCTTGTTCTCTTCTCAATATGGGCATTGCCTTCACTGCCAGGCTTAGCAACGAGCCTCTAATCAACTGTTTTCTGTTTAGTAGAGAATCCTTCAAGGGTAATTGTTGCCATGAATATATCTTTGCAGTCTGTATGTCTCCCTAGAACTTAGTGCAAAGTAGGGATTTAAAGGCAGTAAAATTAATTTGGATTTAAAGGCAGTATAAATTAATATGCTTTGCTGCCCTTTCTACCCTAAATATATCACATGGACCTTATACCATCATCAATCTGACCACTGGTTAATCTTTTGATTTCAAGCTGTGTGCACTGGCTATCAAAACTCTTACTCCAAAGTACATTTTCAACCCTCCTTACTCATCAAAATATTCATTCTGCAATGCCCTGGCCAAATGCCGTATCTTCCTGATCTTTTCCAGGAGCTATTCTTTCACATTTTTGTGATTTCTAAATGGTTTATATGCATTTATGGCACTAACCACATTCTACCTACTTTCGTGATTACATGTACAAGTCTTTTAGATTATGGATCATTTGATTACAATGACAGTACCCTTAAAACTTTAACCCTGAAACTTGTGCTTATGCTTTATGGAAAGAAGTTTTTCTATAAATGATTTTTGGCTGTTATGGAGAAGCATGTGTAATTTTCATTTGAGGAAAGCAGAGGACAACATGTTCTGCTTCAGAATACTGAGACTTACCATTTTTAATTGATAAATTTTCTGGCACACATCTGTTACCATGTTCTGATGGAGATGGTGGTCTTTGGAAACAGCCATGGACTTTTCTTATTTATTACCATTAAAGCAGTGAGAGGGTGTTGTTTCAATTCAACCATGTTGTAATGAAGCCATTTAGACTCAGACAGATGGAAAAGTTTTGGTTTTCCATATTTGCAGTTGCAGAGACCACTTTTTATTCTACTCTTCAGGCACTGCTCTCTGCTTAGGGTCCTGGGCCTAACTTCTGGGCCTAACTTCTGGTCTCAATTTCGTTGAGTTCTGCTCGAATCTTTATTAACTCTCTTCTGCTGGGTGTAGGATCTATTTGCTGTTTTTCCTGTAGATCCTTTAGGTGTAAGGTTAGCTTTTGTATCTGTGTTCTTTCCAGTTTTTGGATGGCTGCTTGTATTGCGATGTATTTCCCTCTCAGGACTGCTTTTGCTGTATCCCAAAGATATTGAATGGTTGTATCTTCATTTTTATTAGTTTCCACGAATCTTTTTAATTCTTCCTTAATTTCCTGGTTGACCATTCATCTTTTAGCAGGATGGTCCTTAACCTCCATGTGTATGAAATATTTCCAAAATCTTTTTAATTCTTCCTTAATTTCTTGGTCAACCCTTTCATCTTTTAGCAGGATGGTCCTTAACCTCCACGTGTTTGAAATCTTTCCAAATGTCTTGTTGTGATTTAGTTCTAATTTCAAGGCATTATAGTCTGAGAATATGCAGGGGACGATCCCAATCTTTTTGTATCAGTTCAAACCCGATTTGTGACCCAGTATATGGTCTATTCTAGAGAAAGTTCCATGTGCACTTGAAAAGAATGTGTATTCAGTTGAGTTTGGATGTAAAGTTCTATAGATATCTGTGAAATCCATCTGGTCCAGTGTATCATTTAAAGCTCTCGTTTCTTTGGAGATGTGCTTAGAAGACCTATCGAGTGTAGAAAGTGCTAGATTGAAGTCACCAAGTATAAGTGTATTATTATCTAAGTATGTCTTAACTTTGGTTATAAATTGATTGATATATTTGGCAACTCCCACATTCGGGGCATATATCTTGATGATTTTTAAGTCCTCTTCTTGGATGGATCCTTTAAGTATGATATAGTGTCCTTCTTCATCTCTCACTACAGTCTTCGGGGTAAATTTTAGTTTATCTGATATAGGGATGGCTACCCCTGCTTTCTTTTGAGGACCATTTGAATGGTACATGGTTCTCCAACCTTTTATTTTCAGGCTGTACGTGTCCTTCTGTCTAAAATGAGTGTCTTATAGATAGCAAATAGATGGGTCCTGCTTTTTTATCCAGTCTGACACCCTGCACCTTTTGATGGGGTCATTTAGCCCATTCCCGTTCAGAGTTACTATTGAAAGATATGAGTTTAGTGTCATCATGATACCTGCTCAGTCCCTGTTTTTGTGGATTGTTCCATGATTCCTCTTAAAGAAGAATTTTAAGAGTCCCACTTAAAATTTCTTGCAGAGCTGGTTTGGAGGTCACATATTCTTTCAGTTCCTGCCTGTCTTGGAAGCTCTTTATCTCCCCCTCTATTCTGAATGAGAGCCTTGCTGGATAAAGTATTCTTGGCTGCATGTTTTCCTCATTTAGGACCCTGAATATATCCTTCCAGCCCTTTCTGGCCTGCCCAGTCTCTGTGGAGAGGTCTGCTGTTAACCTAATACTTCTCCCCATATAAGTTAGGGATTTCTTGTCTCTTGCTGCTTTAAGGATCTTCTCTTTGTCTTTGGAATTTGCAAGCTTCACTATTAAATTTCGAGGTGTTGAACGGTTTTTATTGTTTTTAGGGGGATCTATTCCGTGGATCTGAATGCCTGTTTCCCTTCCCAGATTTGGAAAGTTTTCAGCTATGATTTGTTCAAATGCATATTCTGGACCTCTGTCCTTTTCAGCACCCTTGGGTACCCCAATTAAACGTAGATTTTTTTCCCTCAGGCTGTCACTTATTTCCGTTAATCTGTCCTCATGGTCTTTTAATTGTTTGTCTCTTTTTTCCTCAGTTTCCCTCTTTGCCATCAACTTGTCTTCTATGTCACTCACTCGTTCTTCCACCTGGTTAACCCTCGTTGTTAGGACCTCTAGTTTGGATTGCATCTCATTCAATTGATTTTTAATTTCTGTCTGATTAGATAAATTCTGCAGTCATGAAGTCTCTTGAGTCCTTTATGTTTTTTTTCTAGAGCCACCAGTAGCTTTATAATAGTGCTTCTGAATTGGCTTTCTGACATTGAATTGTAATCCAAATTTTGCAGTTCTGTGGGAGAGAGGACTGTTTCTGATTCCTTCTTTTGAGGTGAGGTGTTCCTTCTAGTCATTTTTGCTCAGTGCAGAGTGGCCAAAAACAAGTTGTATTGGGAGAAGGAGAAAAAGAGAGAAGAGAAAGAAGAAAAGAAAAAGAAAAAAGAGAGGAAGAAAAAGGGGGGGAAGCAAAGAGAAATCAAAAACAAAAAAGAAGGTTGAGTGTCCTCTGATTCTGTATACTTAAATCCCTCGACTTCCCCTGGAACTTTCCAGTGCTGCTTGGTCAGTATTTTGTTTTTCCCCTGTCGGTCTAGCGGTCTTCTAGGGGAGGGGCCTGCTGTGTTGATTTTCAGGTGTTAGCACTTGGGGGAGCTGCTTAACCCCCTTGCCTGGTGCAGGGCTCAGTACAAGCTGTTTAACCTGTTTATCCTGTGAGGCCACTGTGAAGCTCAGTGGGGTTGTTTATCCTGTGAGGCCCCAGGCCGAACAACATCAGGAGCTGGGTCCGCTCTCCAGGCCTAGAGTCAGCTCCTGCAGTAACTACGGAGCTCTCAGTCCACAAGGGTCTGGATGCTTGGGGGCGGGTGCCGCTGATCTGCTCAGCTTGAGGCCACCTGGAGGCTGGAGCGTCCTTGCTGTGCTGTGTCCTCCTGGCTTCTGCCTGTCCTACGCAGAGCCGCTGCCTGAGCCACCTCTGAGCTGTTCCCAGGTCCAGCCGGGTGCGCCCTGCAGCCCTTTAGGGAGCTTGTCCGCTGGGTGTGGCACACTCTCCCTGGGGCGCTGGTGCTCTGTTAGTGTCCCAGGGAGCCAGAGGGCATCCCCGCCCCTCCTGGGGTCCTGCTCCAACTCCCTGGGAGTGCTTTCCATCTGGGAATATTGGTGAAGCTCCTGCTTCTCCGGGCCGGTGCTTTCCTGTCCTGGGGGCACTCGCTGGGCCTTAGCCCAGCTCCTCGCAGGGCCCGTCCCCCTTGGATGCCTTTTGTTTCTTTATTTCTTTCCCCACCCCCCATTTCCTACCTTGATAGAGTGCAAACTCTTCTCACTCTAGTGTTCCAGCTGTTCTCTCTTTAAATCTCAAGACGAATTTGTAGGTTTTCCAGATGATTTGAAGGTTATTTAGGTAATTTGGTGGGGACAGGTGACTTGGGGACGCTATTCTTCTGCCATCTTGCCCACCTCCCTATCTACCCTATCTATGGAGTTTTGAAGTCATAAATTAATGCCAAATATTTGGAAAGTTAAAAAAAAGTTGGAAATTCCAGGAAGTATGCAAAAATCACACATTATCTCAACACTTTGACCAAGATACATTTTTAATGTTCATTTAATATCTATTGTTTTAATGACAGAGTGTTAGATGATTCATTAATTCAGCTAACAAACCTTTGTACATCACCTATGGCCTGATGTTATCTGAATTCTGCTTGAGTAAAAAATTACTTATCTATGGCAAAATTTAGTGAACATTTATGTTATGTAATAATGACATGGAATTCTAATTACATTCCTTTTAATGTGAAGGATTTTGTATTCCTGTTTTTAACTTTAAAATACAAATCTCTCTTAGAAGGGTAAGTCAGTGAATCATTAATAACCTCAAGGAGAATTATTTTAGTATATTCTTTTTTCATTGATCAGTTTAGAAAATAGAAACTTTGAGAAAACTGGACTTTAGGAAAACAGAAGAGAACACATGGGACATTGAGATTAACTTTTGCCTGATTTATAATCAATGCTATGAAGTAACGATCACATCTAAATTTAATCATTTGTGCATATTATCCAGAAATCTCTACATAAGAACTCACTTCCAAAAACGGTTCTTCTTCCTCAAATCTGATTTACTTTGTATTTAAAAGATTCTATTTTTTGCTTACTGGCCAAATATGTCAATATCTAACCATGTTCTTGAACTTTTAATCATTGATAGTGAGGAAATGTCTTCTCTGAATGACAGTAAGCAAGAGTGAGGCTTATACGGCTTGCCGAGTGAGGCTTTGTCTTCAGTCCTACATAGAAGCAGGAAAATAGACAAGTGTTAGAGGTGTGATAGTAGCAGACAAAGACCATTCCAAAAAAATACTGTTTGGATGACCAGTGTAGTGACAAATTTGATTAACTTAATCATTCGCTTTGGTCTGTATCTTACTATTGTGCAACCATTGATTTCTCTAGCCTTAATTCCATCACTCAGTGCTTGCTTGACTCTTATAAGGAAGATGATAATTATTGGGAAAATACCAGGAGTAATATGCACAACAAAGTTCTCTGAATGTAGATGTGGATTAGAGTGTTGTATATGTGTATGGATGGCCAAACAGCAGAGTTTGGAGAATCTTGCTCTGGATTAGAGGGCCAGGATTAATGGTGCAAGTATTTCATGGGAATGAATGAACCAAGAGCTCCTGGTGTCCCTTTGGCTCACTGGAGGAGCCACACCTTCCTGTTAGGGTCTTTCTCTATTCTTGGCCTCTCCCACCTCTTCTGGAGATGTCAGACCATAGACATTCTTCTGTATTTGTGAATTCCTGCCAGTTATAAAGGACAGGGTAGTTTGGCAAAAAAGAAAAAGCAGGCTTTATCTTAATGGTAAGAGAAAGGGGTGAAAACATTTGAAGGGAGATAAGAGTCTCTTTTCTATGTGTTTCCATCTAGTTGCCTGAGAAACAATCAAAAGGAGCTCAAGAATGTAAACCAAGATGTGGAAAGAAAATGGTAAGCACCTAGTGTATTGCATCATTTTTCTCTAAGATTCACCTCTGTCTTACAAGGGACTGAGAATCTCTGTCTCATAAGAGCCAACATCTTATTTTAGGCCTCATAGAGCTAAACTCATAGAATTATTTGGTGATTGCCTCTAAGATTGGCAGAAGGGTTATCTGGAGGCTCAAAACAAAAGAAATGGAGTATTAGTGCACATGTTTCATTCCTTCCTGACTATATAAAGCACAAAGTACAAACATATAGCTGAAATAAAATATGCTTATTTTGGGTTGGCTATTTACAATGGCCACACCACCAACTTATTCCTCATACTTAGAATAATCTTTGGAAAATATAAGTTCCATCATGCCTTTCCCATGAGATCCTTTAATTGCTCTCCATTACATCCAGAATAAAAACGAAACTCTTCACTGAAGACTGAAATCCTATAAGGATTGACTCCTGCATATCTCTCTGATTTAATTCCCCACCCTCTGCCCTCACCCATTATCTTCCTGTCATTTCATGTTCTTGAAGCCTTGAAGCTCAGCCTAAACCCAGAGCCCTAGTGCACACTAATCTTTTACCACTCATGGTTTTTATTTTCTGTGCTTGTGCTTGATAGCATCTTTTTCTGGAAATTCTAGTTCTGACACTCTCTTCCAGAAAACATCCCTGAGTATACAATGTGGGAACCTCCACATTGCTTCCACACACAGTGGATTTCCTGCACCATCCACTATACCTTTCTATCACCGAGTAACTTTATATTAGTTTAACTTTTTAAAAAAATTTTATCACTAACATTTATTGATGGGATGGAAAAAAATTAGCTCTTTATAGTCCATCTTCCTTTATAGACCATGTGGTCTTTGAGGCTTTGACCACTGCTTGACTTGCCTATCTGTTGCCCAAATTTTGCAAGATACTCAGTGGAAAAAAGAAAAAAAAGAGTGGAAAAACAAAAGAGTGGAAAAACAACAGCTATCTGGACACTGATATCTTGCCCCAGCTTAGATAAACCCTGCCTTGTTTGCTGATCATGGGATTTCCATATCTTTGCACTAAACCTCTTTCCTAATCATTGCATCTCAAGATCTGGGTTTTTATCTGAGATGCCCCCTTCTTTAAGTGTGAAAGGTTGAGGGATGAAAAGGAAGGCCCATATTTATTGCTGATATGAAATGAAGTTTGCAGGAATCAGCCATTTCCTAAGTACTTCTCTTAAATTTTCTCTGCATAGTGGGGTGGCTTGTAACTAATCTCCTTTACATTATGTAGCTGAAGAAATGATGCTATTGAAACAAGGTCCTTTTTTCAGGCAAACTGAAAAACTTCCACAAACTGGTTCTGTGCAACAAAAAGTTGTTTAAACTTGGCTTTTGCTTTATTTTGTATAAAATGATATCTGTGTTAGGTGATGTTCTCCAATTCTTCCCCTTTAAAGGAACTTAAGTGTTGATGTTGTCAAATACATCCAAGTCTTTATTACAAATAGACAGTAATTAAATGAGAAATTAAATGTCTCCAAAGTGTCCCCATCCAAACAATTTTTAAAAAGTTTTAATTCCAGTATAGTTAACATACAGTGTTATATTAGTTTCAGAAAACAACTTAGTGATTCAACACTTACAATGCCCACTTCTCATCATGATAAGTGTCCTCCTTAATCCCCATCACTTATTTCCCCCATCCCCCCACACACTTTCCCTGGTGACCATCAGTTTGTTCTCTATAGATAAGAGTATGTTTATTGGTTTGCCTCTCTCTTCCCCCCGCCATTTGCATGTTTTGCTTATTTTTTTAAAAAAATATTTTATTTATTTTTTGAGAAAGAAAGTGAGCAGAGGGGAGAGGGACAGATGGGGAAGGAGAGAGAGAATCTGAAGCAGGCTCCACGTCCAGAGCAGATCCCAACCCAGGGCTCAATCTCATGATCCTGAGATCATAACCTTAGCTAAAATCAAGAGTTGGATGTTTAACTGACTGGACCACCCAGGCACTGCTGTTTTCTTTCCTAAATTCCATATATGAGTGAAATCACATGGTGGTTTTCTCTGACTGACTTACTTCACTTAGCATAATGCCCTCTAGTTCCATCCACATAATGGCAAATGGCAAGATTTCATTCTGTTTTATGGCTGAGTAATATTCCATTATATATCACTTCTTTATCCATTCATCAGTAGATGGACATTTGGGTTATTTTCATAATTTGGCTATTGTTGATAAAGCTGCTATAAACCAGGATGCATTCATCCATTTGAATTAGTGTTTTTGTATCCTTTGGGCAAATAACTAGTAGTGCAATTGCTGGACCATAGGGTAGCTCTATTTTTAACTTTTTGAGGAACCTCCATACTGTTTTCCATAGAAGCTGCAAATTTTATGAATGGGACTCACAGAAATTTAACTAATTTGATGAGGAAGTTCTCAACTGTTTCGGCTACCTGAGTCAATTGAAATCAAATATATAAGACATATGGGCTAGAACTAAATTCAATCTCATTTTGGCTAATTTGACAGGATGATGTTCTTTGAGTAAAGTTACATTATCTACATCATCCTGAGTCAATTTTGGTTATTTCATTTTCATTAGAATATTATCATTTAACTCATAATTTTAAACATATTTACAAAAGGTATGGTGTGAGCTCTTTTAAGTCATTTCGCTTTTTAAAATTTATGTTTATAGAGGTATAGCACAATAAAATTCACCCTCTTTAGGTAAGTTGATAAATTTAGAAAAGCATGTAGTCATGTGACTACCATCTCAATCAAGATATGGAAGACTTTTATCAACCTTCTTCTCACCGAAAACCCCTGGAGACCCCAATCTGACTTCTACTTTGTGTTTTTTCCAGGATGTCACAGTGTCATTGCCTTTATCTTTATTAGATTCTTATTTTTGCTGTCCTTGATTTTTTCCATTTTTCTGTTTTAATTGCTTTGAATTCAAAACTTAATTTTTGTTTTTTCAATTTTTCTTGTTTAAAAATGAGGGCATGTACGACCCAGCAGTTGCACTGCTGGGGATTTACCCCAATGATACAGATGCAGTAATATGCTGGGACACCTGCTTCCCAATGTTCATAGCAGCAATGTCCACAATAGCCAAACTGTGGAAGGAGACTTGGTGTCCATTGAAAGATGAATGGATAAAGAAGATGAGGTCTATGTATAAATGGAATATTAGTCAGCCATTAGAAACGACAAATACCCACCATTTGCTTCGACGTGGATGCACCTGGAGGGTATTATGCAGAGTGAAATAAGTCAATCAGAAAAGGACAAACATTTTATGGTCTCATTCATTTGGGGAATTTAAAAATTAGTGAAAGGGAATAAAGGCAAAGGAGAGAAAATGAGTGAAAATATCAGTGAGGGTGACAAACCATGAGAGACACCTAACTCTGGGAAATGAACTAGGGGTGGTGGAAGGGGAGGTGGTCAGGGGATTGGGGCGACTGGGTGATGGGCATGGAGGGGGGCACTTGGTGGGATGAGCACTGGGTGTTATGCTATATGTTGGCAAATTGAACTCCAATAAAAAAAATTTAAAAAATGAGAGCATGTACAAATATAACTTTTCCTCTAATATTTTTTCTTTTTTGCTTAAATTCAGTTAAAGTAACATATCCTATATTACTAGTTTCAGAGGTAGAATTTAGTGATTCATCAGTTGCATATAACACCCAATGCTCATCACATCACATGCCTTCCTTAATACCCATCACCCAGTTACCCAATTCCCACCTACCTCTTCTCCAGCAACCCTCAGTTTGTTCCCTAGGGTTAAGTGTCTCATGGTTTGCCCTCTCTTTTTTTTTTATTTATTTATGATAGGCACACAGTGAGAGAGAGAGAGGCAGAGACACAGGGAGAGGGAGAAGCAGGCTCCATACACGGGGAGCCCGACGTGGGACTCGATCCGGGGTCTCCAGGATCGTGCCCTGGGCCAAAGGCAGGCGCCAAACCGCTGCGCCACCCAGGGATCCCTGCCCTCTCTCTCTTTTTTTTTTTTTTTGCCTTATTTTATTTTTTCTTCTTATCTCCTATATACATCTGTTTTGTTCCTTAAATTCTGCATGAGTGAAATCATATGGTATTTGTCTTTCTCCCACTGATATATTTTGTTTAATACGCTCTAGTTCCATTCATGTTGTTGCAAATGGCAAAATTTCATTCCTTTTGATGAATGATTAGTATTCCATTGTGTCTGTATCCCAGATGTTGTTGTATTATTACCCAATATTTTTTTACTTTACTTTTTTGTGTTTTTGTGGTCCTGACTTGTTTTCAATGCCAAACATTGTTGCATGTTTTTATTTTTTATTTATTTATTTATTTTTGTTTTGTCACCAATTTTATTATTTAAGTTTTTTTAATTTCTTAAAATTTTATTTTATTTAATTTATTTTTTAATAATAAATTTATTTATATTGGTGTTCAATTTGCCAACATACAGAATAACACCCAGTGCTCATCCTGTCAAGTGCCCTCCTCAGTGCCCATCACCCGTTCATCCCCAACCCCCCTTCTCCCCTTACACCACCCTTAGTTCATTTCCCAGAGTTAGGAGTCTTCATGTTCTGTCTCCCTTTCTGATACTTCCTACCCATTTCTTCTCCCTTCCCTTCTATTCCCTTTCACTATTATTCATATTCCCCAAATAAGTGAGAACATATAATGTTTGTCCTTCTCCGATTGACTTACTTCACTCAGCATAATACCCTCCAGTTCCATCCACGTTGAAGCAAATGGTGGGTATTTGTCATTTCTAATGGCTGAGTAATATTCCATTGTATACATAAACCACATCTTCTTTATCCATTCATCTTTCGATGGGCACCGAGGCTCCTTCCACAGTTTGGCTATTGTGGACATTGCTGCTAGAAACATCGGGTGCAGGTGTCCCGGCGTTTCATTGCATCTGAATATTTGGGGTAAATCCCCAGCAGTATAATTGCTGTGTTGTAGGGCAGGTCTATTTTTAACTCTTTGAGGAACCT